GCAACTTTATGGTAGTGGGAAAGTATCTGAAGCTGATATGCTAGGTCAGGACCAATAATACTGCTGATTCTTTGGATTTTACCAAGAATCTTCAAATATATAACAAGAGCACTGGACGATATGTGGCAGTAATATTCTAAACATGGATGAATGGTAAACTTATAGATATTTGATGGAAAAAGCAATATAAATGAATGTATAGTAGTTAAAAGCAAATATACTCACCCAGGAACTGGAATTATAGTTGCCATCAATTTCATAAATGCGGAAACTTGGATTAACTGCTGTGTTTGCTAAATATGGTGTGACACTGCTAGCAATATAAGCCATACTGACTGGTCGCTTCATGTTATCAACATCATAAAACATTTCATAGCTGTCAAGATGAATATGGCCAAAAAACTGACCAGCTACTGTACTTTCATATCTAAAAAAGAAAAGGGAGAGAGAAATTAAAATTTAAAAAAAAAAAAAAAAAAATCTATCCTGGACTTAAAAAAAAAAAAAAAAATCAGCTACCCCAGTGACAAATTTAAGGATTCGCTTGAAGAGGCAGGCAGTTTGCTACAAGCAGCCATTGAGAGAAGCTTATAATTGGCTACAATCTATGGTAGAGGGAAATACTTTTCTTTCCTTGGTGGCAGACCCATTTTGAAATTTCTCTTTTTGTGTCTGTGTTACAGAATCAACTTGCTTGCAGAAACAGAATCCTAAAGTTAAGGCTGAAAGAATATCAAAAGGCAGGATTCAAGCTTCTTGGGGAATCAGGCATGTCTCATCATTTACATAAGGAAAAGCATGCACATCAATCCTTGTGGAATGAAGTCCAGACAAAACAACACTTGAGGATAAGATGACTAAAAGAATAAGTGTAGATAATCTCATCAGTAGACCTAGCATAGAGATAAGCACCAGCTAGGAGAAAAAAAGGCACTCGAAAATTTCAACAACTGAGTACATGTCCAAGAGACACATGACTTGGCAGACTAAAATGTTGGTTAAAACTTATCTGGTTTCCTAGCAGTTGCAAGTTCAATCTCGGGGTTGGGTAATGCAGAAAAGGCATACTTTAGTTCAGTGAAAGAAACTGATAAGCAATAGAAAGGCTAATAGACAGGAGAGAATTAATTGATACTAGATCTCCCCAAAATCCGTTGGGTTTCTTTTAAAAGCAGTTCATGATACAAAATGACAAGATAACAATATTATCAATTTTATTATTAATTACACATTTTAATTTATATTTAAAGATAGTAAAAGAAAGTTTATTGTTCCACTGGATTTCATAGTTAATACATTGCATGAAAATTTGGAGTAATAGCTTAAAACAGGTGTAGTCTTTTTTTCAAAATAATACATATATTTTTTATTATTAGTTAATAAGTAAAATTTTTACCAGACGAAAATAAATGAAAAGCACCAAAAACATCTTAAAGCAAATATATCCTGATTTAAAATATGAAAATAAATTATGGCATGATATCTATAGATATATGTTTTACTTCTTTACATGAAAAGAGAAATTTATTCTATAAAATGTTCTTTAATACAAAATTAATAATTAATATTAAAGACGGGAAAGAAGGTTTATTGTTCCATTGGGCTTCATAGTTAACACATTGTGGGAAAATTTGGTGTAATGGATTAAAACATGTGTAGTCTTTTTCAAAACAAGCATATTTTTTTATTATATATACTTGTTTCTTCCTCACGTTTATTTCAAAATACATAACAGCAGCCAACCAGCACACATTTATTTATTTGCCATCAAGTCATGTGACACATAACCTCTTCACCTTTCAAGTAGTTGTTTATAAAATAAAAAGTTCTAATGTAGTGAATTGTATAAATATATATTGTGTTATGCATATCTAAATTTATTTAATAATGTTGTTAGTGTGTTATGAATGTTTATTTTTAACACACATAATAGCTGGAATATAATATGCAAATGTTTGTTTATATACGTGGACTGATATAAGAATGTATATTGAAAACAAATACTGAATTTCCTACTAAAAGTGATGTAAAAACAGAAAAACAGACCTAACTAAAGAACCCCTTGTCTAATTTTAATGAAATTTGGTACTGCACTCTGCAGGGCGTTCCAGGTACAATATGTTTCTAAATTAGTGGAGGTATTATGTATCATTTAAACCAGTTGTTGACAACCCCCGGTCCCTGGGCAACATCTGGCCCACACAGAATTTTTATCCAGTCCGCCAGGTTAGTACCTGTACAATAATTATCTAATTAATTTGTGGAGTAAGTGTCAGAAACATATCAGAGTTAATTGACTTACAATGCGATGAATTTTTTAAATCAAAATTTCATTCTGAATCCTCTGCTGACTTCTACAAGAAATATGTTTTGCCAAGCAGAAAATAGAAAAGCCTATTAAATAATGCAAAAATGATGATGATATTATTTAGAAGTACATATGGTGGTTGTCAAAACAGGGCTTAGATGTGGCACATGGCCAAAAGTATGGGGCACCCAGTAAGGATCAAACTCACTGCTCAGTTGTAAACATTCTCGTGAGACAAGCTTGCTGACCATTTACATCATGTTGAGAATGCCCATCTTGGAAATATATATGCATGCAAACAACTTTTTTTTTGAAAATGAAATATACTAAAAGTCATTTAAGAACAAGGTTGATTGATGACCACCTGAATGATGTTTTGCTCCTGTCATTGACAAATATTTCACCTGATGTGAAGAAATTATCAAACAATAAGCAGAAACAAGTGTCTCATTAAATATTTTACTATTTCTAACTGTATTTTGTTTGTAGTAAGGCATTTGCATTTTTTGTCAATTGTCTTAATTGTTGTCTTGTTATTCCTGCAGTAAAATAAGGAACCTTGTTTAAATGATATAACATTAACTTTGTTGTTTTTTTCTTTAAATCTCTAGACTAAGGTAGCCTTCTGGACGGAGTGGTTTAAAGTCGAGACAAATTATTATAATACATTTGATATCATGGCTCTCCCCTCCCCACAAGACACTGCAAAGCTTCCTGGCCTGAACAAATACATTTAATATCATGGAACTCCTCCAAGACAACGCACTGCTTTCTGGCCCGCTCTCCTCAAAAGGTTGCCGACACCTGATTTAAGCTGTATCTTGGGAACAAATATACATACATACATACAAGATTAGAGTTTAAGCCTTATATAAATAAGAGATTTCCTCATAATGGAAAGCAAAACAAGGAATGTCTACCCCTGTGGATTGAATTCTGAGGTTACCGTATATGACAATGATAATTCTTTATTGTAAAATTTCTAACAAATTATCAATTAATTTTTCCAAATTAATTTGTAGTTGTGATGTCACTTTTTTTGTACTGCTTGACACTTGGATTGAATCCATGACAAAAAGATAATTAGATCCACTTTAACAATACTTTTAATGATGAGGTCATGTGTCCCATATGCACAAAATGTGAGCATTATTTCAATTATATGTATTATAAAAATAGATAATTAGGAAAAAGAAATTTCAATGTATATTTTGTCACCTCAAAAACAAAAAAAGACAGATGCATTTCTCCTTATCTACATTTAAAAACAATGTCATCCATTACATGGTTAATTTATCACTAACCTGTTAGAAGATATTTTTATTTTAAACATTTCACCCCAAACAAGCTGATAATGCCATTAAGATGCAAGGGGTTACTGGGAGTGAAATAGAATGAGAAGACTTTAGTGGGGAGAAAAGAACAGAATTCACAAAAACAGAAGATGATGTTGCATTTAAATTTTTCAAGATTATAGGTAGCAGGGATCAAAAAAACCAGAAGAGAATTCCACAGATGAGAAGTGTGAGAAAAGAAACTATTAGAATATAACTTACAGTTATATCTAGCTATTTCAACAGTAAAATGAGGAGACCTAGTTTCCAATTTAGTAGTATGCAAATACATGCATTTGGAGTACCAAGGAGAAAAGTTCATTAGAACAACTGGCATAAAAGTATTTATAGAAAAGACAGGGGGAAGCCACAAGAGGGCAATGGGAAAGTGACTGAAGTTGAGATGCCAGGTCAAAATCAATAACATTACAGATCACTTTTTGGATTTTGTTGAGAACCTTGAGATAGCATCAGACCAGATATGGCAGAAATATTTAGTGCACGGATGAATGGTAGAGTTATAGATGGATTCTGGAGAGAAAGCTTGTCTGGCATGATAGTGAACTAACTTTCCTAGCAGCAAACCTAGCAATTGATTCAATATAATCCTTCCACTTCATGTTAGTAGGAAACATGAGACCAACAAGGTGCAATGAGTTGCTAACCTAGAAGTTGTAGGATTTTGTTGGACAAACAGACTAAACAGTATTGCAAGTTGAATCTGCTCTGACAACTTGTCTATCTGGGCCAGTTGGCAAGTGGTTTATATAACAGGCTGAGATGTTACATTCTGCTATTTGGGCATGCCTATTCTCTAGTTTCTGATTGGCTGTTGACTTTGGTGTGGATAATGTGATCAATAAATATCCATCATTAAGCTAGGAATGCTTGAGCACAAGGAGGAGGCTTTCTCTTTCTCTCTTGTTGAACTCACTGCCTCTGGGTGGAAAGGAACCCAGATGAGGCTATGCTGAAGAGGAGAGTCTTGTTTGTGTACATGGGGTCTACAGGCAATTTTTGCCTGAGCATACAGGCTCAGAATCCCCTACATTAAAAATTGGCCTTGTGCCACCTCTTACCTTGTGGGGAGGTTGGTAAATAGACAGTACAGGGTTTGTATTGAGTTACAGTCCAGTTTTTTTTTGTCTGCCAACTGGACGCTAACTGAGAATTTCCTTGCAAGTGTGAGTATCATAATTTGATTCTACATAGGTTGGCATTAGCCATGTTGAGAAAATGCAAAACAATTATACCAGAAATCAAGTTATATTTATAGAAATTGCACATGTAAAAACTAAAAGTAAAATATTTACTCTGATCAATAAAATTTATATTAATATTATAAGTCAAAAGTTCACATGAAATGACTACATGGAACACAGAGAGAGAGAGAGAGAGAGAGAGAGAGAGAGAGGAAAACTAGAACTTGTCATTTGAATTACCGAGAAATAATTTTGTAGTAATTGAAACTCCAAGTCTTCAAACAATCTTCAATTCCAGGAGGTATGTGGCCAATTATATGAACCTAAATGAAAAATAAAGAAAATCTTGTAAAAATTTCATCAAATATGTGAAGTGCTATAGAATAAATAGACTCAAATGAATTTGATTTTCCTAAAGTAGATTGATGGATGGGTTTGTTTTTTTTTTTCTATCAACATTTTGTAGGTTATTTAAATCCAGAAAATATTTTTAGATTCTAAGAATATTTTGGAGATGATTTATTGATACAAGTCTTACTAATTAACCCATAGCTGGGGGATAAAGAGGTGTATTCATACCTTTCTCAAGGGTATTTGTTCACAAGTGAATATAATGAACCTGACTGGAATTGAAAGTCTGCTCCCTGATTTCCAATTCCAAGCTGTTATCCATTACACCACCTACACATTCAAGCTTACAGCAACTTTTGTGTGTTTTTATATTTATATATATATATATATATATATATATATATATATGTGTGTGTGTGTGTCATTAAGATTTCATAATTTTAAATGTTACAAGTCCATCACAAAATATTGAAACTAATATAAAAAATCTGGTGTATAAACTATAACTCAAGGAAGCAATTTTCTTATTTAGCAATTAAAAAAAAAACAAAAAAAAAAACAAAAAAAACTTCTGTACCAATCAGTTAACTTGATTTACAAGGGTTGCATGGTCAGTTGTATATATATATATATATATATATATATATATATATATATACACACACACACAGTGTGATGGGTAAATTGTTGCCATTTTATATTTTGCGCATGTGTGTTGTTCGTTTTTGTCAACTGTACAGTATAGTATAATCAGTTGGACACCATGACAATTCATTCCACCAGAAATTTGGAAACAGCATGCTGTACTGCTTAGCATTTGCATCGGAAACTCCAATACAAACATTTCAAAGTGTTTGGGTGTCAATCTGAGGACAGTGCAGAGGATTCAGAAAAAGTTGGACGAGTCTAATGGTGATTATGAAGTGCCATGCTACACAAGCAGGAGAACCCAGTCATAGCTGTCAGACAATTTCTGTGACCACATCACTCCTTACATCTAGCCATCTAACTCCCCAGACTTATTATGTGTGGGAAAGAAAGAGACCAACAAAAGTCCTCGTAATACTAAAGATGAATTTAAGGCAAGGATTATGGCAGGATTCATCAACTTAAATAAGGAGGCCATAGTTGAAGCCAATGGCGATTTTATTGATTAAATTTATTCTTCAGTATTTCAAGACATTTTTGGGTAATTTTGGTAAATATATCTGTTAAAATGAGATGTCAGTATTATTTTCATTTTTGTGTAATTTAGATGACAATTTATCCATCGCACTGTGTGTGTGTGTGTGTGTGTGTGTGTGCATATATATGAATGCGCAGTCATTGTTATGGTTAATTATATATGCTTAAACCTTTTCTTTACTGTCTTTTGCTTTTGTCATACAATATTCTATGAAACACATAACTGTTTTTATATTTTAAAAAGAAGACAAAAGAAACTTAAATAGAAAATAAATAAAGTGTTAAATAGCAATTTTTTTTAACAATCTGTGCCAAATAAGGAAAAAAAAATTGTTTTTTTGTTGTCACTTCCCACTCTTATTTTTGCTGACTTAACTTCAGAAAAGACAGAAGTAGTTAAAGAAAAAAAAAATTCAAATATTTGAAGTAGTGAGCATGCATAATTGTAGATTACTAGACACTTCATGATTGTTTATCAAAAAGTCAGAGATATAGATTACATTTGGCAAAGAAATTTTTTTTTAAATTTATTCTCACAGAAGATAAATGAAAAAAAAATATTAACAATGGTGACATTGGGTGACACTCACTTTCTCATGATTATCTTCGGCTTTCTGTAGAACATTTATCAGCCATTCTAGTTCTTGGTTAGGGTCTGTCATGTTAAGCATCAGCCACCTTATGGACAGAGAAAAAAAAACAGTTAATATTAAATTATCTCTTATTCAAAACTAAAATTAATGTCTATTTTAATATAAATTATTATGATGGTTTTAATGCTATACTGTATAGAATTACAAAAGATTTCCTTATGTTGATGAAGAAGTAAACATACAACTGGATCTTTTATCAGTTTTTCAGCATCTAGACAGCTTCACCCTGTGTAAAATTCCCATCCCATTTGTGTGAATGTGGTAAAAAAACGAAAAAAAAAAAACAAACAAAAAAGGCTAAGTGTAAGTTCGGCAAAAAGATGAAAAATGAAAGAAGCCCAATGGTGAGGAAAGAAAACACAAATCTTGCATTTTTTTTTTTTTTTATTCATGTAATCATTTGGCATGGTCTTGGCAAAGGTAAGTGACAAATGGGACATCTTTGCTGCTTGTGCTATCTTCTTTCATGACAGACAAAAAGACCAGATCTTCCCTTTGGCTTGTGATAATGTCAATTGCCTCCAACTCTATACTTCTCTCACTAATTATAACTCTCTCTCAACATCTTGATTCTAACTTCTCTCAATCTAGCTTTTGGTTTTCTGTTTTTTTTTTTTTTCTTTCTAACTATCAATTTTTTCAATGCAGAATCATCATACCATAGAAAGCTCTTTTTTCGCTAAGATATTTTAGGATTTCACATACTTTGGCCAAAGAAAATATGAAAATACAATTATATTATCTGATCCTACCATGTTTTCCAAATCAAGATTTAAGATAACAGTTTGGATTCTATTTTTAACATAAAATTCTACTTATATGGATAAAAAAGGATGAGAACCACTTAAACTAAACATACCATTTCACTTAACAGGACAGTACTATTTACTGATTTTAACACAAAACTTAAACCTTTTTAACTTTGACTTAAATAAAAGATTAAACTTACCAATTGAGTTTATTACAATAGTTTGTATTGATGGAAACAATCCTGAACCCTGGGAAAGGAGACACAGTATAATAGGCACCACTGAAAAAACAAAAAAAAAAAAAAGAAACAAATATAATCGTCCCTTAATGAAATCTTCATTAAAGTAATTTTTTTAAGTGAATTATTACTGAAATGAACACGTGCTAGTCAATGAATATTTTTAAGTTAATGGCACATTAAATGTGGCAACTTGAAATGTGTGCAAAACAAATGTTTTCAACATAAAACATTCAAGATCTTTCATACATCCCAATAACAGAAATATTGCCAAAGAGTAACAATCATTTCTGTGATGATAAAAATAATAAAACAATAATTTGATAGGATTTTTTTTTACTGCATATTGAATGTATAAAATGTTATAAAATGCTAGTTTTATGTTCAAAAATACTTCTTTAAATGCAACTCTGAAATTTTATAATGACTGTAAAAGTCAAGCATTTTTTGCCACTAAGATGCAAGGGGCTACTGAGAATGAAAGAGAATGAAAAGACTTTAGAAGGAACTGGGAACCCAATCCTATACAGGAAACAAGGGATAAACCTGTTCAAAAGACTGGGGAGGAGTTAGAACTGGATGATAGGCAAACCTATCTACTCCAATTGAGGAAAAAAAATAGTAAACAAAATTTCAAAGTTTAGACAGAGACATTAGAAGTATAGAATTTAGAAAGAAACGGAAACCCAATCTTAAACTGGAAAAGGGATAAACTTCTGCTCCTGACCTTTTAATCGTTCCATATGTCTCCTTGGGTAGCCAGTGTGACCAGCTTTCATTGAGAGCAGAATAAAGCCAACTGATCGAGTCCTTTCCTTTGATGAAAGAAGGGGGAAAGCTGCAAAATTATTAAAGACATTCATCAGAAAAATTAACAGAAAAAAAAATTTGCTTAATGCTGAAAATAAGAAAAATATTTCAACATAAATATACAAGAGATTTTATAATCAATAAAAATGTCACAGATCAAAAAATTTATAATCATTATGTATGAAAATACAACTCATTTTATAAAACAATATCTTCAAAACTGAGAATGAAACATCTGTAAATATGTATATTGAATGTTTAAACCTTTAACATTCAACTTGCCTCATAAAAAAAAAATCCACTCTCAATGTTCAACATGCTATAATCCACACCATTTATACTTCATTGTAACATCATTGCAAATAACACAGGAAGTGACACAAACAGTGAGACTTTGAAAGCCAATATTTATGGGGTGAGTTTGAAAGTGTTAAATTCTTAAGGGTTAAGCTACACGTTCATGTATAAAAATGAATGATAATATTAGTTGTTTTCTTATAAAGAAACATTAAGCATTCATTGACTTAAGAGTCAGCACTACTTTTGGTTGAAATTTATAAAATCTTTTTATCAAAACAATTTTTCAGGAAAATAGGTTTCTCTAGTTCACTGTTATCGCTCTTTCCAGTATTGATGGGACTTTTCTAAATTTTTGTTCAATGTGGAATGTCAACATCATGATTATATCATTATTTTCTCTTCAAGTAACATGTGCTATCCATTTTAGCTGTTGCTACTGTTGAAAGTCCTCAACTAATGTTGTTTCCATTATTTGATATAGTTCTTTGTGATTCCATAGCACCAGTCCATGTGATTCAAAGAAGAATCATTCTTTTAAGTTTTACTGGATTCATTCAGAAAACAGTTGTATATTGTTGACAGTTTAGACATTTCTGAACAAGTTGGGCACAATGCATGATAACCATATCAAAGCCTAGACCTAACAAGGCTATTTAAGAACATGACTCGACTTCTTAGGCTAATGTTTTGGTTTTGTAGCATCTTGCAGTGTTTAAGAAAACTACCACTACTGCAACCTGTCCTGTATTCAATTTACTTATATCCTATACTAAATTCCATATCCTGAATTTTTAAGATGGGTTCAGGTTATGTGCAATCACTGCTTTTATTCCAATTTTAATTTTAAAAGGTAAAATAAAAAAAACTTACCTATCAACAGGTGCACTTTCATGATTCCCAACTACAGGAAACAACTTTTTCTTTGGAAGATATTTCAAGAAATAATCTGTCAAGACATTGATAGCTTTAGTTTGGTCAGTTCTTGATTGGTTCCATATGTTATGTGGTGGTAAATCACCAGTCCAGTAAATAAAATCAAACTGAAAAAAAATAACACAAATATTTAAGATGTGCCTCAGGTCAGATTTTCACCTTTACAAAAATGGGGTTAAATACTGCACTGGTGGCTAACACCTCTACCAAACATATGTATTGACAATTGAACGTGTTTCATGCTCAGAAAAGCATAAAAAGAATCAAGGTCGACATATAAACACATCTGTAGCTAGCTTTTTTTTTTTTTTACGTGTTTATTTGTCCATGTTTGAAAAAGCCACTTTCAGTAAAAACGTATATACACATCTATGCCAGGGAAGGGGTTAAAAAAAGTTTCTGAAAAAAAAAAAAAAAAAAAAAAAATAAATAAATAAATAAAATAACAGCAGAACAAATGCAAAAAGATAATAATTTGAAGTTTTTCTCATAAGGATTTCAAATGTAAAAAAAAAAAAAAAATGTTTAGCTAATATCAAAACAAAACAGGTAAATGCTCATTATGAATAGATTAAAATCCGTTTTTTTTTTTTTTTTTTTTTTTTTTTTTTTTTTTACATGGAATAAAATTAAATTCATGTAACTTTTTTAAAACTAAAAGCATGTAAAAAATAATTTTATATTATTGGCATCTCTGATACAAGGAACATAACAAAATGTTTACCTATTATGTCATCAGCATCCATGAAACAATAGAATATCACAGAACATCTTATTTTGGGGAGGGGTAGAATGGATAAATAGCTACAGAAAGTGAAGACCTGAAGTTCCATTGAAAGACTTGTTGCCATGAATTAGAAAATAGTAAATTAACCACAAAAATTACCTGTGAAGATAATCTAGTACAGTAGTAATAATAATAATGATGATGATGATGCTTGAAAACAAGAAATTACAAAGTATACATACTGAAAAATTGTGTTAAACTGAAATGCAGATTTTGTGATAAATATTCAGAAACAATTTGCACAGTGTTAGCACCCACTGAATCTAAAACTTGGTATGACAGAGTGGGCCAATATCTGCACTGGAAAATATACAACTTTTACAGAAAGGAAACTGCAAGACACTGGTATGAGCATCACCCAGACTCAGTTACAGAGATAGGACCCATAACAATTTTATGGGACTTTACAATACACACAGAACAGTCAAAGCTAATGGCCTAGACTACAAAAACAGAATGTGCTTTCTTATTGACATAGCCCTGTAGATTGGAATCTATCTTTAAAAATCTTCAATAAAACTATCAAAATACAAGGATCTTGAAGAGGAAATCTCAAAAATGTAGCACATGAGGACATCAATAATTTCAGTTGTAGTTGAAGCTCTTGGATTGATTGGAAAAGGTTCTGATAGACTCATTGAAGAAATTCCTGGTAGCCCATGCATTAAAGAAATACAAAAAATTGTACTGAAAACTACAGCTCACACATTACGAAAATCTTTATCCATGTAAAATGTGGGTGATCTTATGTTATTATTATTATTATTTTTTTTTAACAAAAGTGATCAGTGGAAAATGTCTTGAAGTCATTTCTGACCTTAGGTCTCTGGTTGGGACCTGGAAAGAAATGTATATACAAAAGAAATCAAAGGAAATAATAATACCTAAATAAAATAAAAGAAGAATAATTTATAAGATTAGGTCCTATTACTGTGTTACATGTCCCTTCGGGAGGTTGGCACTCATGACTCTCCACAATTTCCTGTCCTTTGTAGCCCTAAATAACTTTTGTCTTTATGCCATCTCTCCAAAACTTTGCCTCACCATCCATTCACTCAAGCTTGACAGATAGTTATGTATTGTTTTCCTTTACCCTCTTGCCTTCAATATGTCCTGTGAGTATCAAATTTTCCAAGTCCTCTTTCCTCATTATGTGCCTCAGAAATTTCAACTGTCTCTTAGTGATGTTAAGCATAAATATCCCTTTTGTTGCCATCATCTCTAGAACTTCGTCATTGCTCACATGTTTGGTCCATGATATTCTCATCATCCTTCTGTAGGATCAAATTTGTTGTTTCAAGTCTTCATCAGTAAGGAGATTGTCCAGAATTAACTGCCACATAGGAGGACTGATAACAGTTCAGTACTCTTTTAGATTTAGAAATTGCTAATGCTGGTGATACCTAGAAAAAGACAGTAAAAAACAAACAAAAAATAGCAATACAAAGATCATACAATAATCATTGTCCTTTAACTGGTCTAAAAAATAGATATGAAAGTTGTATATCGATGACAATGTTTATAATTGTCAATGTCCTAGATAATTCATAAACTCAAAGCTTTTTGAGAATCGAAAACATACTTGTTTAAAAAAAAAAAAAAAAAATTTATTTCAGGTATTTGCCTGCAGATCATTATTTATTTAAGTTAGAATAAAAATAAAATTCAGCTAAATGATAGGAACAACAGAGTTTTGTTTGTCCCTCTGATGCCATGTTTGTTCACCAGAGTTCTAATACCTAATACAGGGATTGAACTCATAACCACGAGATGACAGTAACCAACTCATATATCCACTATGCCACTGTAGGATGTGTAATGTGTTTTTGGAAGTTTTATATTCAATGTCAGATGGTTTCAGCATTTGATTATCATTGTGGGTTCATACCACATTTTTTTTTTTTAATTTTAATATTTCATTTCTGAGATGAGTAATTGACAATATACTTTTTATTAATATGAGCTGTTGTTCTCATTTTGGTTGATATAGATCAGCGCTTCTTAAACTATGGGTTGCAATAGTTTAAGTTAATACCTGGGTTTGGGAAAAATCTCATGAAAAATGAGATCATTAATGAAAAAAGTTTAAGAGGCACTGCCATAGATAATACTTTTGGTTATACCATCCCACAAACAACAACACATATAGTAGGAAAAAAAATTATTATTTAATTCTTGTCTGTAATATGCATCCCTAACTTTTAGGCTTACAAATTTTGGAAAAAGGTGAATATTATATACAATTATAGTAAGTATTTTAATATGAAAAGCTGAAATGAGAAAAAAATAGATAAAAACACCACTGATCTGTGCTCTGTCCAAAGACAATCACAATTGAGAGATAAAATGTAGTTTGTCAGATACTACACTTTGATCTCAGCCTGATGGCCAGTGAATGAAGAAATATGTAACTCAAGTAGCACTGGTTATTCAGTCAATGAATAGCAAATGTTTCCTTATAAGGAAATGGTTAATATTATCATTACCATAAATCGGTGCTTCTTAAACTATGGAATTGCAAAAGCAAAATGTTGGGGTCATGAAAATTAAATTCAAACACTTGAATTTCAGTTTATTTCACAATGCACAATATTTAACATGATGCACCAAGTAAGCACTGCAGTAATAAAATGCACATGCATCGCTGTTGTGACTGGGGCAGTGACATGTATGCATTTTCAGTGTAGTTGGTTAATAATTGGGGTTGTGAAAAATCTTGTCATGAAAAATGGTGTCATGAATGAAAACAGTATAAGCAGCATTGATATAGATGTTATTTTTTGCAGAAAAAATAAACATACACAAACAAACTCTCTTGTCTAATCAACTATTCCCTCTTAACTATATTTAAACTTATTCCAATGTAAGTAATAAGTATTAATGCCTCTATATATATATATATATATATATATATATATATATCTCAACATATAACTTATTTCATGGAAAAAGAAATATAACTTGACAAATTGTCTTTAAATACCTGTAGACCAAATACAAAGTTAGTTGGGAAAGTATTGAACCATTTTCAATAACATGAGAGCAAGTTGTGTACCATTGAAGTAATTTGACAACCAATCAAAAGAGCTTTTGCTCTACTTCAATCGGACAGGTTAATTTTGGAACCATGGTATTGCACTCAATTTGAAAGTTGAGGTTTAACATGATAAATAATGACAAAATATTTTTTCAAAATCGTTTGTTTTTTTGAGGAAACCAGTTTGAAGATTAAGTTTAGGTTCAAAATTATAGCATTGAAATTTCATTCTGGTCATCAGTGAAAATCTTATGAAATTTATAATTTACTGAAATATTACAAATATTATATGGACAAGATGCATGGCACAAGCACATTATTATTAAATCATTGTGCCATCAAATAAGACATTCATTTACTTCAGAGGGAAATTATAATGAACAATTTAATTATATTATGCTGCAATGTGTTATACAATGCAGTAGTTTTAGTGTGATTTTTAATAATGCAAATTTAAAACAATTTTGTATTATAATTTGTGCTCAGAAGTACTATGTTGTTATATACACTTTTATCTATCTTTCATTTTTATTAATTACGATCTAACAAATCTTATTCATCAAATAGCCTTTTTTGTAACCTTTTACAATTTTTTATAGTTTATTTATTGAATACAATAAAAAAAATTGCATATTTTGCTTGTGGTGATTAATTAAAATTCTGGTTTGAATATATTTTCCATTCTAGTACAAAAGATATCAACTTTATTTGGATTTATTCTTGAAATAGTAAAATTTTGAAGTCGGTTTGTAAGCAAAAACCTGCAGAAATTAGGTGTACCTGTACATTTTTTCAGATGATCTTTAAAACTAAATGCTCAAAAGTTGGTAAAAGCTATGAATATAATTTTGGATGTCAGTACTTATCACATAAAATCCCAGGTTTCACACCAAGTGCTATGCTGATTTTTTTTAAAAATGTGAAAAAAAAAAAAAAAAGAAAAAAATATATCAACCTGCTCTACTTCTCCAAGGTTACTCAATCAGCAGGTAGGAGGTCACTGAGTAAGCTTGTGTAAGAACATGGGCTTGTTTTTTTTTTTTAAAGATTGTTGAAAAAGGTAGAACATTAGTCATAACAAAAACTGTTGTAATTAGTTACGTTTAGATCAGATTTTATTTTGATATGTGGTGTATGGCTAATAAAGGTATTTGTCTATATTTCTGAGATGAAGTATTATGTACACTATTTACATTGTTTGGACCGTCATCCTCATCTTTGTTGCCATATTTATCACAATGTTTCGGCTTCAAGGACACATGGCACAGTGGATAAAGGCGTTAGTTAGATCCAGTGACAGGACCCAAAAAGTGTTAGTTCAATACCTGGTTAAGGCGGTGGAGAACTTGGAGAGGGGAATTAACAGGAGATAAGTGATAACTGACATCCATTAGATATGGCATGTGGAACTAGTACAGTCTACCCCAGCGAGCAAAATAAAGGGTTCAGTTCGAGATTCCAACCACCTGAAGAAGGCTGGAGTGTACAACAGACAAAACATGATAAATATGGCAATAAAGATGAGGATGATAGTCTGAACAATGTAAATAATGTAAATAAAAGTATTATTGAGAGAGAAAATTAAAAGTCCCTTAAAAAATTTGGGATACATCTCCACAGAATGACCCAGTAATCAATAACACCAACTAAAATATTCTCCATATATTTTCTTTATAAATCTCTCCCTGACACGTCCCTTCAGGACATAGGCAATCATGGCTCTCCACAATTTCCTTTCCTTTGTAGCTCTTAATAAATTTTGTCTTTTTGTCATCTCTCCTAAATCCTGTTCTGCCATCCATTTACTCAAACTCACCATGTAGGTTATGCCTTGTTTTCCTGTCCTTTTTGCCTTCACTGTCCTGTGAGTATCAGATTTTCCACATCCTCTTTCCTCATTATGTATCCTAGAAATTTTAACTGTCTCTTCCTGATGTTAGGTATGAGTTTCCTTTTTGTTTTGATTTTCTTCAAAAACTGTCACTGCTAAGACATTCGGTCCATGGTATCCTCAACATCGTTCTGTAGAACCACATTTCTGTTGCTTCAAGTCTCTTTTTCAGCTTTGAGGAGATTGTCCAGCATTCACTGCCATATACGAGGACTGTTATTGTCTAACAGATCAGCACTTTTCTTTGTTTCTAACAAAATCTTTCTGTTTCTTAATAGTCTGCTTAGCTTTTGGAATGCATCTTTGGTTATCCCAAAGTCTTCAGATTTCAGTGTTACACCCTCCATTCTCTGTTCTTCCCAGATACTAAAATTTTTGTACTTTTGGTATCTCTAATTTGTAATTAGCATGTTGGGCTGTTTCTTTTGCTAACATATCAATTACTTGGGTTAATAAATAAAGGATGACAGAATTTCAGAAGATCATTTTTAGTATTATGGTCTATACCATATGGTTAAAAACTTTTAACCTTCAACTATTGCATTTTCATGTAAAATGTGTAAAACCTCTGGTCTATCCCCTCATCATAAAAATGAATTAAATTGAAAAAAATTGCTTAAAATTTCATTAGTAACAGGATTTCTTTGAAAAACAGAAAATAACACACACACATCGCTAGTAGATTTCACAACATGACTCAAATCCAAACCCTACATTCCAATTTGCAAGTTCTGACTATCACCAATGAAAAGAAAGTCATTTTACACCATAGACAAGCTTAAGGAGAATGTGATGAGACAGGGGTGATCCTGAAAGAGAACTTTGCAGACAGTTTTGAAAATGGGAATAGGCTTTGATAGGGATATGAGGTCCCAAAGAGAGAACATTGAAGAGGACTAAGGCACCATAGCCTTAAGTAGGCTTTCATCTTGCCTCAATCATTTCCAGACAGACCTTGTATACTTTTATCAATAAAGGCTATTTGTAGATATCAGTTGCTCTGGAAGAACACATCATTTATAACTTACTTTGTTCTGAATGGACTGAAGATGTTGGAAAAGATTATCAAGTGTTCTTGGTGGAGTATCACAGCTCCTGTAGTCTCCCCATTTCCCAGCACCAGCTGTTCCTTTCTCTATGAAAAAAAAAAAAAAATTATTATTATTCATTAATGTAAGTTTTTTCTCAAAATATATATTTTATATAACATTAAATACTGCCTTTTTCTTTATTTGAAATAATATAGTGATGAATTCACGTGTGTCTCCACATTATATATATATATATATATATATATATATATATATATATATATATATATATATATATATATATATATATATATATAGAGAGAGAGAGAGAGAGAGTGTCAGTTGTCAATATACCACATAACACCTTTGAGCGCTTAGCCTTGGAGCAGGTAGAATGGAGATCAATGTGTTTTAGTGGACTCAGCAGTTTTCAATCTGCTTGTCTGAATCATCTTCAAGAAGTGAGAGCAAGATCTAAAAGGTCAGCCAATCTAACAGTGATCTCATCTCACAATCCTCACTCTTGCTCCATATGTGGCCTCCTTTGTAACTCATTAGTGGGTTTTAAGTGCACAAAATTTCATAACTGAATCAACTAAGCTGTCAGATCCTCATATGTCGAAACGGATGGGTGAGTCCATTATTATATATCTTTCGTTAAATAGTACGATACAAGGAAAACTTAATTGATTTTTTGATTTTTTATTTAGTCTTTCCAGCGTTCTTACATTTTTCTGTTTGGTGGGAGTAAGGAAGTGCAAAAATTGTACATATTGTCCATTGTCTCAAGTGATTTCAGCCACTACTTTAGCCATTTCCAAAGGGAGGGGTGCTTTAGGGGTTGTTAATTTTTTGCACTCCATTATTCCCAACAAAAGGAAAAATGTAAGGATGCTGAAAAAATAAATAAATAAATTAAAAAAATAATGTGTGCATATGTGTGCGTATATATATATATATATATATATATATATATATATATATATATATATATATATATATATAGTACCACCACAGAAAATGCAATACCTAAGGTTTAAAATGAATTTTTAAAAATTTTTCTTGAAGCTTTGATTTTAGTTTCAATTTCAAACTAATAAATCAAATTTAATATTTCCAATAAGCAAAATACTTTGATGAATTTCAAAACTAATATCACAGAAATGCATTTTTTAAGACAGCAGTAGCTGTTTATTTAAACTATTGACATGTTTGACAGATTGATGACAAATTGATGTATATCTAATGTTGTTCTAAGGAGGCATTAGATGTAAAAAATAATTGAATGTAACATGCGCATTTTATATATAATTTTTAAGTAGTCAGTAATCTTAAAAGCTTAAGAAAATATTTTCCATAGGCTAAAGTTTTATTGAATTTTAGATACTTTCTGGATTTATATTTACTATAGTTATTGCTCTTATTTTCTGATAATGTTGTGTAGCTATTGTATCTATAAAAATTAGCATGTTTATAAACAAACAAAAAAATTCAAAATTCTTTTAAAAATGTTTGTGTTTGATGATTTGTACTAAGCATTTCCATTCATGATTAGTAAATATAGTTTTTACTTAATAATATCATCTAAAAGGTTGAAATTAATACGGAATCTTAAAAAATTTAAAACAAATTATTCTAATTGAAATTTAAAAAAAAAAAAAAAAAAAAGAAAAGAAAACAATTCTTGTAAAAATTCATTATTCTTCAAAAAAGAAAGTTTTTAAGACAATATTTTCTCCCACACACTGTGGTGCTGTGGCATTAAAAGAATGCACCCTGGTGCTGTTCACAGGTTTCACATTGTCAATGATAATAAAACATCACAGAATACATTACTGGATAATATTTATTGTTCAGCCAAGATAATCACTTAAATACATATGCCATAGTTTAAGTTACTTGAAATCAAAAAGGTCCTTCAACTGTGAATAATATCCTGACATTAAAACCACTTTTATTTCACTTCCACCTATAGAGCAAACCCAAAAGTGTCACTTGCATGAAAGTGTTAATGGGAGCAAACTGCCTCCCCCTCCCCATCTACACTACTAGTGCTTTAAATCACTAGATCAGTCACAGTAAGTTTTAATCCAGGTTCATCAACATTTCACCTTTCTTGAAAGATTTTCTATTAATTATTATATTATGGGATATTTAATAACAAAAGTGATAAAAAGAAAAAGTAATTAAATTGAATTGACTAGATCCAAAAATATATAAAGGAAAAAACATTTTTAAATTTTCAGCATCCCCGCTCATTTGTGCACATATTAAGTCACATCAACATAACATCATTTTTAGCCCAATGAAGTCCTAAAAGATGAAATGCATCACACAAACTTTTTCTACTTGTTTACACTATTTACATTGTTCGGACAGTTGTCCACTGGGGTAGATTGTTCTAGTTCCCCATGCCATGCCTCTTCCAAATGTCTCAGTTATCTCCCTTTAATTCAACTCTCCAAGCTTTTGTTCACCACTGCAGTAGCCAGGTATTGAACTCACAACTGGATCCAACCAACACTTATCCACTGGGCCATTTGAACCCTTTATTTCGTCCACCAAAATAAAGAGTTCAGTTTGAAATTACAATCACCTGACGAACGCCAGAGTGCACAACAGACAAAACATTGTGAGTATGACATCAAAGATGAGGACAACAGTCCAAACAATGTAAATAATTACAATAGCTCATCTTGAAATATAGACATATTTTTCTACTAGGTCATAGATTTATATATATATATATATATATATATATATATATATATATATATATATATATATATGTATGTATGTAAATGATTTTACTTGGTGGTCCATCATCAGCTCTGCAGCAAAGGGTTCTCCACATTCAGCATTTGTTCCTTCTTTGTATAATGGATCCAAATGAATGTCACTGAGATGAAGAATTCGAAGCTTAGGTGACAAAGTCTGAAAAAATAAACATTTTTTTTTAAATTACAGTTTAGATTTCTTATATATATATATATATATATATATATATATAAAAATCATGTATTTGGGTAGCAATCTTTATTTTATACAAGTTTTATTAAAAACAACTGACAAGGTACTGTGATTAAACTTTTCATTTAATTTTTTCTTGTATTCTTGTGTTTTTTTTTCTAGATCTAAAGTATATAAAAATTGTCCAAATGTTCTATATATCTGAGCGCTTTTGGCTATCCTATTAACCATTATCGAAGATTTCTTTTGTTAACTGACTATGTAGATTTTTATGTGTATCTATCGGGATGGGAAGGTTTTTTTTTTTTTTTTTTTCCAAACACAGTTAGTAAATTGTGGCCGTGTTCATAGCTGAGATTACTGTTGCCCTTTTCTTTTTTATTATTAAAAATAATGTAAGCATTAAAAATTAAAAAGAAAAAGCCAACAATAATAGCAAATATAAACATGGCCACCATGTACTGACTGTGTTTGGAAAATAAAAAAATACAAAAAAACATCCCTATTGCTATAGATACACAGATTCATAAGTATTCCTCATGCCCAGTAGGTTGAAAAGAAAAAACATTTTGCATCTAAAATCTTTGCAAAAAAGACAACCTGATACAGGGCAGATTTTTCTAATTACTTTTCCATAGAAATAACAAAATCTCAGCATTCCTAACTGTAAATTTTGATTAATCTTTATCAGAATAGCAGAAGCCTTATTCACCATTGCTGTAAGGCAGGAATAAACTATCCAATTTCAGAGTATTGTCTCCACCCAGATAGTACTCTCCCATTCTGTTAAAAGTGTAAGGGCTAGGGTTAATCCCTATTACCTGATGTGTTCCAAAAGAGTACATGCTGAGAGAACTGGAGTATTTTGTCCTCTGGTTCAATATGTGTGGGAGGCTCCCATTTAAACTTCTTGTGCCATAGTCTATTCAAGTGGGTTCATGAATAAATACAGCCATTCGCCACAATAACTTCATAGAATTGGCTTCAATTGTTTTTACGTTTAACAGTAGAAAGTTTTTTTTTCCCTCTTATTACTCATAAGAAAACTGCCTTAATTTCATTAAATTTGATGGGGATCAGTGACACACCAACAATTTAAGTTCTTGCCACAAGTTTTGGGGGTTCACAGCTACACTCTGACCAATTCAAAACTTTTTCTTTAATTTAAACCCTGCTTGTGCAGTTTCAGCTGTATGCTATAAATCATTGTTGAAAAGAAAAATGGCAAGTAGAGTTTGCTGGTTGATATGAAAAGGACCAACTCAAAGAGAGGGTGTGTGGAATTAGCCCACCTTGTCTATTAGCAGACTTCTTTTAACACCCACTAGATGGCATTGTATAAAGTAGTATAGAAGAAAAGGGCCACAAAACCATTTTTTCTTTCTCCCTTCAACTACAGAATGCTGTAGTGACAAGATGTATTTTGTTTTCCTTCTGGGAAATGTCTTAATCCCTGAATCACGTGTTGCATTGCATACAACATAATATTATTACTAAACCATTTCCTGTTCAGAAAAGCTTTATAAGCTGACAATATCTCCACTACATCTTGTCACATAAATACATATCTCCATCCAACACAAAACAATATCGCTCTTCAACAAAGAAGTCAATGCCACTAAAAAAATGAACTGATAACCTAATGCCATTACAGTTTCATTTTATTGTCTTATTTTCCTTTTGCTTGTATTATTATTTTGAGAAGAGAAATTGACATAATAAATAAACTCTCTATATTTTTATGTTTTGGAAATGAAGTGAATAAATGTTGAATTCATTTATTTGGAGATTATTCACATTTTATATTGCATTATGTTAGAGAACTAATTCTTGGTTAATAATCTAAATGGGCTTCCAGTTAAATATTAATTATGAGTACCTTCATGAGTGAGATAGAATTATGGTGGAAAAGAAGGCTGACAGAAGTGCATAAGGGAGAGAGAGAGAGAGAGAGGAGCACGGCGAAAGGGACAAGAGAGAGGAGCACGGCGAAAGGGACAAGAGAGAGGAGCACGGCGAAAGGGACAAGAGAGAGGAGCACGGCGAAAGGGACAAGAGAGAGGAGCACGGCGAAAGGGACAAGAGAGAGGAGCACGGCGAAAGGGACAAAGAGAGAGAGAAAAGGGACAAGAGAGAGGAGGGACAAGGGACAAGAGAGGAGCAGCGCCCGAAAGGGACAAGAGAGAGGAGCACGGGCGAAAGGGACAAGAGAGAGGAGCACCAGAAAAGGACAAGAGAGAGGAGCAGGGACAAAGAGGACAAGAGAGAGGAGCACGCGAAAAGGGACAAGAGAGGAGCACGAAAGGACAAGAGAGAAGGGACAAGAGAGAGGAGCACGTAAAGGGACACAAGAGAGAGGAGCACGCGAAGGGACAAGAGAGAGGAGCACGCGAAAAGGGACAAGAGAGAGGAGCACGGCTTAAAGGGACAAGAGAGAGGAGCACGGACAAGAGAAAAGGGACAAGAGAGAGGAGCACGCAAAGGGACAAGAGAGAGGAGCACGGCGAAGGACAAGAGAGAGGAGCACGCGAAGGGACAAGAGAGAGGAGCACGCGAAAGGGGACAGAGAGAGGAGCACGCTACAAAGGGACAAGAGAGAGGAGCACAAGGAAAGGGACAAGAGAGAGGAGCACGCGCGAAGGGACAAGAGAGGAGGAGCAAGCGAAGGACAAGAGAGAGGAGCGAAAAGGGACGAAAGGGACAAGAGAGAGAAGATTAGTGAAAGAGCAAGAGAAGTGAGAAAGGTGGATAGTGAGAGAATAATCACAAGTACATGAATTTGGGACAATCTTCATTATCTAATAAATATATAAATGAATTTATTATTTTTTACCTGTGTGAAAACAAACAGAAGTAATCTTATCAGCATTGAAACTAAGAACATTTAGTCTTAGTGTAAATTAGTTTTTCAACTAACCTTTGGTGGCTTTGGAGGGATGACAGGTGGTTTGGGTATCTTTGGAAAGGTCACATTCCAATCATCATAGAGATCCTTTGATGAAGCACAATGACGACCAACAACGATTCCACAGATTTCATCAGAAGACAATGTCACATTGTTGAGGACATTAAAGAATTCCGACTGAAAACAAAAGAAATATTTAATCATAAACATAAATAAAGATTGTTTGAAAGCAAGATATTTTTTTTAAAACTCTTTTTGCAGGACAAAGAAATTCCTCATGGGATATATTCTCAATTGTGAAATTGTAATATTTATTTGCTTCATTTGGGTAAATCAATAAGTTTGCAACCAAATGATTACAAAATCATTTACATTATACAAAAAATATTTATTTTCCAACATAATTTCCTTCATTGTCAATGCACTTTATACAGCGGCAAATATTAATCATATGTTAGTTATGAGAGCACTAGTAAGTTCATAGTCTCATTATGACTAAATAATTTACTCTACACAAAAAATATTGATTTTCCACAACATTCTTTTTCCTTGTCAATGCACATAATACAGTGGGGAATAATAATCATACATTAGTTATGAGAACATCAATAAGTTCATGGCCACATTCCTTATTCGGCACAACAAATACTTATTTTTAACATAATTCAGTGGTGAATATTAATCACATAGAACAATCATTATACAGTGAAAATTTCAGATCAAAATTCATCTAATAATCACATGTCAGATATTGGAATTATTGATGCAACCTTGTATACTTCCAAACAGTGATTCTTTTTTTTTTTTTTTTTTTTTTTGACTATCCAATGGAGTCACCGAGTTCACTGCATCTGTTGTAGTTCCTGTGGGAAAAAATAGGCGCATTACTTTCAGAGCAAAAATACATGCTTAGCCAAAACTTGCTCTATTCAATGGAGTTATTGGGCTCCCTGTATCTGTAGTTCCTTTGGAAATACATAGGAGCATTACTTTCACAGCAAAAATACATACATAGCCAATGGTGGTGACTATATGGGAAATAGTGTTTTGTAGCTGAAAACTTGCTCTATCCAACGAGATCATTGGGCTCTCTGTATCTGTTGTAGTTTCAATGGAGCATTACTTTTGGAGTAAAAATACATACATAGCCAATGATGGTGACTATATGGAAAATAGTATTTTGTAGCTGAAAACTTGCTCTATCCAATGGAGTTATTGGGCTCCCTTTATCTCTTGTTCCTGCAGAAATACTTAGAAACATTACTTTTGGAGCAAAAACATGTAGAAAAACAGTGTTTTGAAGTTGAAAACTTGCTCCATCCAACAGTACAAGTGTGCTCTTTGTTGTTTCTGTTAAAATAAATAGGAGACATTAATTTTGGAGTGTCTCTTTCTAGTTTTACACAACCTTCTTCTTCTAGGTGTCATGACCCTTCAAGGATGCGAGTGATTATTTCCTGTCCTTTGTAACTCTTTGCAAAGTTTGTCTTTTTGCTCTATCTCCTAATCCCTGTTTGGCTAACTGTTTACACAAGCCCTCTATGTAGGTTTTGCGCTACTTTCCTCTGCCTTTCTTGACTTCAATATATCTTGTGAGTGTCAAATTTTCTAAGCTCTCTTTCCTCATTATATACCCTAGAAATTTCAACTATCTCTTTCTGAATCTAACTGTCCTTTTTGTTTCCGTTCTCTCACATGGTTGCTCACATGTTCAGTTCATGGTATTCTCAGCATCCTTCTGTAGAACCTCAAGTCTCTTCATTTGCGAGGAGATTGTCTAGCATTCACTGCCATATAGGAGAACTGATACTATGTAGCAGTCCAGTACTCATTTCCTTGTTTCTAAAACATTTTCCTGTTTCTTAATACTTTACTTAGTTTCTGGAAGGCACCTTTCACTATCCCAATGCACCTTTGGATTTTGGTGTCACATTTTCAGTTCTTTGTTAAAACACTTTCTAGATATTTAAATTTCTGTACTTGCTTGATTTTGGTATCTTCAACCCAATTTTTTTTAAATCCTTGGTGCAGCAGGATTAGAGATTCTTTACAGAAAGTTAAGAAATAAATTATATTTAATTAATTTTAAAATATAGAAAATACATGAGGAAGAGAAATGAAATTTGATTTTGCGTACCTTAAATTCTTGGACAACTCCTTTACAAACTCTGTCATCTTCGATATGTAATGATTTACATATTCCATAAATCATTTTTATAATGTACTCCTGTGACTTGTGGGAGGAAGACAATTTTCTGGTACTTGTGACTGTATAGTGACATAAAAGACAATGCCAATCAAATTTCATAGAAGACACTGTGTGAAATTCCTTCTCTGCAAAACTGTTTATGTTTTGTTCCATTGTCATGACACCATTCTCAAGAGAACTAAATTTTTTGAAGAACACGGGTGCTGTGATTGCAAGAACAAATAATTGACTGATGAGGAATAACGTTTTGAACATTTTCTTCTTTTTAGTTTAGACTTTTTCTAGAATATCTGGAAAAGAAAAAAAGAATTAAAGAAATGACCATTCAGAGGCTAGTATGTACTTTAACACAAAAAAGATTTAGTTCTCAGAATTTTTGTGTTATCAGTTGAAAATATTACTGCATAAACACACAAAAAAAATCCTGTAAATATTCTATTGAACTGAGAGGGCATGCTCAAAGAAAAATCATCACAAAAATATATACATCTCTATTCATTTTGATTCAAATATTTACAGAAAACATTGTTAGAATGTCACAACCAGACTTAGAGACAGAGAAAAAAAACACCTTAGGGGTAAAAAAAATCTAAGAGGATAATGATAACAAGAAATAGCTATTTAAATTTCACAATTTTCCTATTTGAATTTTCTGATGAATCTTAAATCTTAAGTTAATGATTGAATAAGCTCCTTGCAAGTTCCACAACTATAAAATACCCATGGAGATTTCCATATTGCATCATTAAATATTTGTGTTTACAACTTTAACAAAATATTATAGTAATAATCATAAATATGAATGAAGATATTTATTTAAAGAAGTAAGAGGGTACAAATGAAAAGATTCAAAATGGACAAGGTTTCCCATTTCACTGAAGCAGACATTAAACACAAGAGTTATTGCCTTTTGTTTCTTTTTCCCTTCCCTCATCTCTTTCCCCCTCCTTTCACTAAAACCAAACAGCACCTTTGATATATCTTTTCTTCTATCTATCCTCACAAACAGGAATGGGCCATTGTTTATCTGAGGTAAGGGCAGGGCATGCTACTTAATGAAGGAATGAGCAGAATTATAATATGATAACAATGTATCAATACAGCTGTAAGTCAAAATTATAGGGTCACTGTGAACTCCATGACCTTGACAAAAACCATGTCTTTCATTTTCTATCTGATCTTTTTTATCTCTCTAGAGAACCCCATAAGGATAAAGGTAAGAAGTACTTAAAGAACTCAAGGGAACATGATGCACCATTCAGAAATTGTCTACTTTATCACAGGTATTAGAGACCTCCTTTGATCATAGCTCTTGGAGTTCAATCCTTATTTTCCAGCTCAATTCAGAGTTCAGATCAGTGTTTCCTAAACTTTTTTCAACCAGCACCCTCTTTGGGCACAACCTTTTTGCTACCCCCCCACCACCTGCCATCAAATTTAATTTCTAATATTATATTGAATTCAACTTTCAAGGCAAGAAGATAACAATTAGATATTAGTACAAAAATAATTTTAATTTCTATTGTAAATGCCAATAAAAAAAACAAAAAAAAACAAACTTTTATTTGATAGCTTATCTCAATGTTTTCAATGCGATGGTTGACTTTGGTGCTTACTGGCTAAGGCTCTTACTCTACGTTCATTTCATAGCTTATCTCAATGTTTTCAATGCAATGGTTGACTTTGGTGCTTACTTTTGGTTCCATGCTGCTTAGAAGTAATCTTAGATCTCCTGGTTTTGTAATTTGCAGGTGGTTTCTTTGTTTAGTAAGAAGCTGTGTAAGTGTGCTGAAACCACATTCAGCTATATAGGAAGTTGGAAAAGTAATGAAGAAAAGTTTGATATTTTTCCACATCTTTAGATACCTTTCAGAAATTTCCTTTTGTAGCCACTATTGAATAATTTTTGAAAATTTAAAAAAAAAAAAAAAAAAAAATTGTTAAATGCCCACCACCCCATAAATGAAATAAAAACTCCCAATGCCCCCTTTCAACATAACAGTCCACAAGGGGGTGCTAGCATTGGTTTAGATGATCTAGTGAACAGAAGACTTACTTTTCCCTCTGTAGCCTCTTTCACATAGAAGCAAAGTCACAAGCCTATCACTTCCATGGTAAATACTCAGATGAGCACCATTGTTTAGTTATACCAGTTCAGACTTTTAATACTAGGAGATGTCATACTACCAGTATTGAGTCAAAATACCTTTATTACATCTGTATTTTAATGGTCAGGAAAAAAGTACCACTCAGATAATTCCCACCACCACCACCACCACCCCGCAAAGAACTGCTACTGTGTGGAGCAAAATCCCATGTGGTGGCTTCCTTGACCTCTACAATCTTAACTTCTTCAAGTCAAAAGTTTATCGATATTTATCGTCAGAATTTTAACTTCTTACCACACACCTCATTTATCATAACCATTTTAGCTGTAACCCTCATCTCTACAATCTTAACCCCTTAAGTCAAGGGTTAATTGCTATCTATCCTCATATCTTCACTTCCTACCACACACCTCATACATCATAACCATTTTAATTATAACCCCCTCCCTTGAGTGACTCTTGACCTTTGTATTGGGTGAATGTAATTTATTTTTATGAACTTTTAATGTGAGAGATCAACCACATTTTTTTTGTTAACATGCTCTGAATTGATTCAGTATTTATTGTCTATTCAGACATTTGAAGGAAAAATCTACAAAAATTATATAACAAAAAAAAAAAAAAAAAAAAGCAAAGATTTCTTAACCAATAAAAATTAAAAATTACTTCCATTAAATACAACATATGTTCAATGGAACCATTTTTTTTAAGCTATTCAAACATTTTGTATTTTTTGATGATATTAGGTATGTATAATTATAAATGGACAAAGTAATAACAATTTTAATCAAAATTTATTCACTGAAACAGAAAAATTACAATACTTCTTTGCATTTAGTTTGAAATTATAAACTTAATTCAAATTACATTTTTTTTTAATTATAATTCATCACTGCATTTGCACAGAATACATTTAATAGGCTTTGACAGACATGTTTCTAGCAAATAAGAGACAAATTGTGTTTTTCTATCCATTTTAGCACCACACAAGGTGTGTCTTTACTTCTTTCTCTCATTGGATGGTTCCTGGGCAATGTATTGCTCACTAGAGTTTGTAGTTGTATCAAAACCTGCAAGACCTGAATTCCTTCAGCATTTGTCCATTTTTGGATTATTTCCAGAAGATTTAGCTTCATGAACAATATAAATGATGAAAGAGCTGAATCACAAGATCTTTTTGCAAAACATGAAGATCCAAACTTTTGACGTACAACATTGTAAGATGGATTTCTTCAAAGTGCCCTTTCAATTGATTTAAAAGACCAAATTTCAGTCTTAAGTTTCAAATAATACTTTTCATTCATCATTGAAGGGTTTGTAGAATCATTTCTGTCAGCTTTGATGTCATCATTCATATCATCTGATTATGAATATGCTCAAATTATCACTTTCATTATCATCTTCTGAAAAAGAAGATTCATCACTAATTTCTTCTTCCCATTCTAACTCAGATAACAATTGTGAAATATCTTCAAGGTTTTTAGCTTTTGAAGCTTTGGCATTTTGTGGAAAGATTGCAACTCTACAGCCAAAGGACAAATGAATAGTTGACAAGCTATCACTGTATTTTATACTTGTTGAAGATGATGCAATGTTTCATCATTCCTACAAAGATGATGCAATAAAACGGGTAGTATTACATCATCTTCAAATGTCTTAGTAAATACTATTAGAAATCTTCTCCAAGAATTATATAACTAAGAAAAGGAGTAATTTGAAAAGCCTTCTAATTAAAAAAAAAAAAAAAAAAAAAAAAGCTTTGCATAATGGCACCTATTTAGAATGGACAATATTTTTTTATTTAATTGAAAATTTCAACCATGGGTCCAATGGACCTACTTGATAATAGAAGTCACCCACCAAAATTTCATTTTTTGTTCTAAATTTATTTCCTTTATATAGATGATAGAAAATGAAGAAAAAATAAGTGACAAAAAATAATTCAGATAGAATATCTATAAAGGTGAAAAAATTAGTTTTGAAAACAAATTATGGATCCATTGGGAGACTGAAGGTTTTAATACAATTACTTCAACAAAAATCTTAAAAGATTTAAATTACAGAAAGCTTATTTGAAACTTTCAGATCTTTTCAATGAGATTTACTTGATAATGTTGCTTAATTAGATATATTCAAAACACATTTCAGACAGCTTCGGCAATAGAAACAGTGTTTGCATTTATCGAATTGCCATAAACATTAAATATGATCAATCTATAAATCTATGATTCAATCTATAAAAGATTCCTCTTCTTTATACAACTTTAAGAATTATTTTGCTGAAAGGTTAATTTTGTCTGAATTGGAGGGGGGGGGATGACAAATTTCAACAATAGTAACTTCGGTACCCAGTCTTGTGTATAACGATAAACTACATCGAGCAGATTGGGAGATTTTGAGGAGCCAAGAACCAACTCTTAATTGCTGTTGCTCCCAGGTCCACTTGACACAGGGTTGTAGCACCGAGCAAATAGTGACCCCCCCCAAAAAAAACAAAAATAAACAGTACATTTTTATAATAAAATGACCAACAATACATTTTTATAGCAAAATGACTATCAATGCAACACTAAAAAAATAATTTTTTTATAGTAAAATTACCAACAATACATATGATCTACAAAATGTACATCTAAAAAACACCTTTACTCTGAAAGCATAGAATTATACACAAAATATCTGTAGTTGAAAGAATAAAATTACATACAAAATATTTAGATTTCGGCATTAAAAAAAGCCTTAGAAGTTGATATGCCACCAAACAAAATCAAACAACCAACATGAAAAAACTTTCATACATAATATCATACAATTTCTTAAAGAACTCAAACTGTATTCCAGAATATAACTACAACATAAAACATACATATCATGCCTCTTGTTCACACAAATGTA